AGGGGAGGGCGGGGTAAGACCCAACAAAATACTGCATTCACAGAACACAGCTTTCAGGGAATTCACTGAGGAGTTCTGGAAAGTGTCAGCTCACAAGAGCAAAGCTTTGGTTCCATTTTTCTCCATATGAAAAAGAATTAAGAAAAACAGAAGCTTTCAAAATATTCCCCCTTCAACACTTACAAAGTTAAAAGTTTTCTTATTGATTTAAAATAGCAATTTTGAAATTTTAGCAGAAATCAGGCCATTTTATATTTATGTGTATGAAACATTTTGGTCAACCAAACTGACCTCATAATGGGAAAAAGGAAAGAAAGACAAGTGACATTTCCAAAAATATTTAAAATAATTGAATCTAAATTCAGAGCAAAGGGATACATCTAAAGCAAACAGAGGAATAAAATGAGATGTTTTATAGATAATACTCCAGTTAACATTTACTAAATTAATTTCTTGTGCGATTTAAGTGGGCCAACATCATCTTGAATTGAGCTAGATGAAAATACATGGAAACCCAAACTGCATGAGGTAAAAAAATATTAATCTCTGGCTAGCTCTTCAAGAAACACTGGTCACTTAAGAAATATTGTGACAGAAGCAGGGAGTTAAAAAAAAGTAGCAATACAATTGAAGTCCAGTAAGATCCACTTCAGTGGACACTCTGGCGCATTCTTCCCCAAACTCTGATGCTCTAACCCAGTGATCAGGGCAAGAAGAATGACCCAATAGCAACCTAAAAATTGAATATTATTGTCTTAAATTCTTACATAAAAGCATTTTACTCATTAATAATCTGTGACAGAAAAACTGTTCATTTTTAGATTTGTTTTCTACCTAAGACACCAAGAGCTATACCAAAATCTCTAAGCGGTTACTACATTGTTAATAGAACCGCATTTGTTGAACTAGAGAGCTTCTCTCTAAGTGGTAATCACTGGGATATTAGTCCTGCAAAACAGTAATTTTTAAAAAGCTGCAACAGTTATACATTTTGCAGTATGGAAAGTAATTTTAGAATGTTTATTTCACAGATTATGAAGTCAGAATGAACTGCTTGGGTTCCCAGAACTTCACAGGCTAATGTAACGGAGACTAAATCCAAAAGGTTGATTAATTCTATAGTTACATTACACAGCTGGTTATTTCATAGCCAAGAAACAGCATTTCCAATTAAAAATTAATTTCCAATTAGTGGCACAACCTGAGATACAGCAAGGATTTTTCCTGATAGCAATCAATTACATATATATGAATGCAATGACAAATTACGAATTATACATCCTGAAACCTTTACAAAAGACTGCTCTGACAGATCAATTCATGAAAATCTGCCATTTATTACATTAGCAAATGGTAATTTACCAAAGCTACCCTACTTTTGTAAGGTTAGTGACAAACAGGGCACTTCCAGAAAATGACCCCACATCTCTTTACTTTTTATCTAAAATACTGACCTTTAATAAAGAGAGTACAAGAATACCTAATATCATATTTCTTTCCAAATTTCTTTTTGCTTTTAGTCACCCTAGGGGCAGTTCAAACTGAATGAAAGTCTCTTACCATTGAACTATTTCATGTAACTGTTAGAGAAGTTTTCTACACTTACTGTCCATCTTCACTCCATATCGCCATACACCTATCCCCAACCTTCCAGGAGTGACTGGGCAGAGCAGAAGCAGAACTGTCAGAACTTGCAAGAGTTTCCGAAGGTTGTGTTGAAAGGAGATCTTTGGTTAACTCTATGACTTCCTATAAAAGACAAAAAACCCACAAAGAATAATTTTTCAAACTCTGTTACCATGCGTATTTTTACCCCAAGCTTACTGGTTTGGTTTTTTTTGAAGTTACTGTATTAAATTCATAGCTGATAGAAAGTGGACTAAGTTTGTTTTGGTTTTTTAGTCATTTAACTAAACTCACTCATTGCCAATGTAGATAAAAAGATGTGTGGTCCTCACTATATTGCAGTAAAGTTGCCCATGCCCTCCTCAAAATTTCAAGTAGCCACCTATTATTTTTATAGCATTTCTTTCTAGATGAATTTATTTATCCATAGGCACACAGACACAGCTGGACAGTTTCAAAAAAAAAAAAAAAAACCCAAAAAAATCAACAGCATGACTCTGTACACATGGCTGCATGTGATGTTGGTTATTGACAAAAAAAAAAAAAAAAAAAAAAAAAAAAAAAAGGACAGTCCTCTGAAGACAAAACGTCAAAGGATGTAACGCTTCTATTCTCTCTCTAGCTGGCAGTTTCTTTCCTCCCTTCCCATTTGGGACTGGCTGGCTGTATTATATATAGTAATCTATAAAACACACAACAACTACAAGTGCAGCATTTCTAAGTCATGACACCTTTTTCAGTTTACACAAACATACGTGGATTGGCTGAACTGAAGCGCCCAGAGCCAGGGTGGAAGAGTGCCTTCCAAGACTGCCACTCTGTAAAGCCCTCTCGTTTATAGAAAGCGCTCAGGTGCATAATAAAGAAATTTATCTCCTTAAGTCATTTTGATGTAAGCGTTTGTTTTTCTCTAAATTCCCTGACTTTAAGATTTCAGGTCAGACCTTCCCTTGCTAATCCAACAAGACAAATAACAAAGTAAGAAATTTTTCCAGATCCTTTAAATATTATTCATGCACAGACAGGAGCATGCAAAAACCCCTCCCCAACCTCCTGTCAATGTTATATTCTTATTCTGCGCAGTTAAGACTACTGGTTTTCACTAGTGTTAAAAATCAAAGGAGCCAGCACCTAAAAGGCCACTTGAACTTTCTGTATAAGGCAAAGCAACTCTGCAATCCTTGAAGAAAAATTCTTCAGTTATTTGAGTATGTCAGCATGAACCATTGTCACTCTCCTAACTCCCAGTAAATATTTAAATTAGGGGAGGGTTACAGATAAACAATGTTCAACTGAGGCTCAGTGAAGCGTGAACTTCCCTCCCAGTTTCACATCCTAGTTCAGCTATGGGAGTACAAAGGCTAGCTCAGGAAAAAGTGGAAAAGAAGCTGTTCTTCATTCCTCAAGAACCTAAAGGATCATAAGCAGTTCCCAAATAAGACTTACATGCATTTTTATCTGATAAACTATACAACTGGCATGAATGGCCTAACAGTGTTTCTGTTGCAGCTGTTAATGTCTGAATTTCCAACACCTTCCTAACAAAAGTTCTGCTCTTTGTTTTAGAGGAACTGCTAGTTAATAAGTGCAACAGTAAGTACAATCAGTAGCAACTGTAAGCACGGAAATATGCTTACAATTACTTCTACTACTTTGGTCTCCATTTTCCATAATACTACAGCTGAACCAGAACAGATTTTGATTATCAAGTTACCTAATTTGAGAGCGCTCCACAGAACATACAGCCTTAGCCTAATTTTCCCTCCCAGATGCAAAATCCCAAACTATTCCTCAACATATAGATAGTTATATTCTGCAAATCCAAGAGACATCATGGTTTGAAACAGGTATCTTATCTCAGCAGGTCAAATACAATTCCTCAGGCACAAGCTACCTGAAAGTGAGTATTTCAGCTATGTAGACTACCAGTAATATGAAACTGTTGACTTATTCTTGCCACATTCATAGATGGCTTATTGTAGAACTCAAATCTGAATAGTTTCAGACAAGTCTACCAAGAATTCTTTGAATTCGGTCAAGTCACTTAGACCCCAGGCTATAAATAGCAAACTTCTGGTAAAAATCTTCATCCGTTATCCACATACCATAGTGCTAAGCAGACAAGATAGAAACATTAATTTTATTGCAAGCCATGCGATAGTTCTAGAGTCTTTAACGGAATGGCTCATTCAAAGAAAATTTCCGAGCACGAGTTAGACTACCGCAGCAGCTCAATATGGCCAAATGGGTTGAACATTGTGGCTTGCTGCCACGTCCCCGTGACGTGAAAGTGTGACCCACAGAGAATACTAGTTAGAGTTTGCCAAGATTTTTCCTGACCAACTGGTCTTTACAAAGCCAGAACTACAAAGAGATCTTTACAAAGAGATCTACACTCCGGAACGCAACACCCAGAGATATCATCTCCAATTACAGGAGATGACAGCTGCCATCAATTCTACTTGCTACAAAAGGTAAGTTTGGTCCTTGGGTGCACGGACACGGTCCTAGAAGCGCTTCAGTGAAACAAAAGGTGAAAAGCAAAGTATTTATTAAAAAAGTTCTTGTAATATTTATTTTAATCTTGTTACTCAGGAATGAGCTAGGTATACGAAATGCAGTAGTGCATCACTATTTATGATAGAAAAAAACATTTCAATTACATTGTAACAATATTTTTGAACTAATTTGAAAGCTATTTAGTTGGGACACTGAAGCATTGAACCCATTTTTACAATTCTTAGGTTGGCATATATTAAGTCTGCAAAACATTATGTCATTTTCAAGGTGGAACATATGGATAGCAAACCTTTTGGGGACGAAAGTGTAAAGATCTTCCCCATTCTGTGCAGAAAGCTTTTATAAAAAAGTTTGCAAGTTGTCCTTTCACATCAATGATCTCTGCATATCAAAGCCGAGGTCGTGTTGGTATCGGAAATATCATCCCATATGGGTTTTGCTGTGCATTTTAAAAATATAAAAATATACACATGCTTTTAACAGTGTACAACGAAGGACATTAAGATGATCTATAAAGTGCCTTGTGGGCACAAAGCCTTTGTAATTTAAAAGGAATTCTAAAGATCACCGATTTGAGGCACTACTCATATTTTGGTTAAAGCATCATTTTTATTGCTCTTATTTCCATACAGAATAGTGGTTACTCAATCTTGTACTGGGTAGTTTTATATATTTTTAGATCTGATAGCTAAAGCAATCCACAACAGAAATGAAGCAGCATCTTGCACTCTCATGACAAATTTTAACAGTACTTCTGGGTTTTTTTATATGCCAATGTGTCTTTATATGCACAAGAATCTAAAAGACCACTTATCAGCTTAAAATTAGGCTGATAGTCTTCCTGTCACTGAACCATACCCTAAGGACCAGAAATGGTTTTTTAGCTCTTAAGAATGCGGTAAACTCTCAAATGTTTTAAAAAAATGCAGGTGGCAAGTGAAGAACACACCTCTTTTCCTTTCTTAATAAAAACCTTAGCACAATCAAGGCTTAGATGTACAAGGAAGGAATACAGAACTACACTCTAAAGCTTTTATCATTGCAAATGCATGCATATAATGCATAAATAAAGAGATTCTGGATGAAATGATTTGACAACTCAAAAATAACCAGAAAGCCATAACGTTAAGCCCAACCATCAGGCTTCAGCATAGTAAAAGCAACAAAAAATAATGACTTTCTGATAAATGCTTTAAAAAAAAAAAAAGAAAGAGAGATAGTAAAGACAGCACTGGCATATCTTTCAGCACTGGCTAAAGTTTTTAGCAGAAGAGTTTGCTATATAAATTAGTACATCTTTTTTACTAATCTACAAGACAGGTTTAAAATAGGCCACACTTTGGTTTTTTTTCAAACCAACCCTACCATAATTGTATCAAATTATGTGAAAAGAAAGTAATAAACTTTTTTGTTTCAATGCAAATATTTAGGAAAGATGGAACTCCTGCTAAAGACCCTAAAGTTTCAGCTACTCATACCCTCAAGTTCTCACCTGTAAGTCTTTCTTCAGTTTTAGTAAATCTTCATTTTCTGCATTCCCAGATAAGGCAGCCTCAACTTGCTGAAGCTGAGCTTTGTAGCTAGCTAACTGCTTTGCCAGGTCTTCTGACATCTGCAAGAAACATACACACACAACACATGAAAACAACAGGCTTGCTGCTTTTTAATCACATCTTGTGGTGCAAGTAAAGTAAAATTAATAAATAATAACACGAAAAGCTATTACTGAAATGTTAAAAACACAACTCACTAACTTTCAATAACGCACTATTTGACTATAGATAGCCGCTCACCTTAATTTTTGTACTGTTCAACTACTCCCAAGCAATTTCTAAAAAAGAAAGCTTAAACACGACATGCCTGTGTGCGTGCACAGGGGAAACGCGTAACTTACCGCATGTAAGCAGCGGGGTCTTTAGGCAGCCTCGGACTTACCCACATCTTTAGAAAACTACCGCGCACTACAGTTTTTCCCCTCCGGTTGCCACAAGACAGTCTTCAGGTTTACAGCCGCAAAACCCTCTGCGGCACCCGGCAACCTGCCCCTGCCGGGGTGCTCCGGGAGCCAACCGCCCG